TTATGCGATTCCTAAAGTCTCTTTAATCACTAAAACTAGTTTTTTTTTCCATTTAACTCAATTTCATAGTTTGTTATACTTAACCCCTTCAATAAAATTGAATTTAATCTTACAATTTAACAACTATAAAATTAAGCATGATTTGATAATAAGTAACTTTTTACTTACTTTTCAAAATTGAAGAATTCAAGTATAATAGTATAAACCACTTATTTTCTAACAACTTGGCAAATTCTCTTTTTTTTTTTTTTCCTTTCCTCTCTTTTCTTTCCATTCTCGGCTTCTCTTACCTGTGTATTATGAAAATGGATTTGGCTTTGTAATTCCATCGCCTAACCTTTTATTTATTTTGTTTATATTTCTTTTTTTTTTTTTAATATAGCATGATATGTTTGACTTTCTTATATATATATATATATATATATGCCTCTACATCTTCGCTCGTAGATCAAGCTTGGACGGAAATCTACAACCTCGATGCACGAGGGCCTGTGATGACCCCAGATCTAGTCAATCCTGAACTCGATCCATGAACCCCGATCTTAATACCCCATAAAACCACCAAATCAAGGTCGGGCCTATGAGGTCGAGTCTGTATGTCAACTAATCAGTCCTTCTTAACAACCTATGAGAGCACTAATTCTACTTAGACCACAATCCTTACCCTATTTAACTCCTTCTTCGACTCAAACAATGGTTGAACACTTAGAATGAAACACTAACTCCTTATCCTACGAGGATAAGAATCACACATGGGTAAGTGCTTCTAGGACTCTATTATCAACACCTATAAATACATAACATGAGCTCATCATTTAGGTACGTTTTGCACTCTTTCCAGTTCATAGCCACACACACTAAATTCCCTATTTGACTTAAGTATCGAAGGAGCGACGAACACACATATTGTTGCCTTTGTTTCAGGTATTGGAAGATCGCTCGTGTTCATCAAAGTTCGGAGTTCGATCATCAAGTTCGAGATTTTTCAGGTACTATTTTTTGGTAGCATCAGATATAAATAAGTATTGATAGGTGTGTAGGTTGTGAATAAAAAATTATTTGAATTTTTATAAGCACTAGTCAGAGTTGAATCTCTGAAATACTTTATAAGTATTGTAAAAATAATATTTGATACTAATTTGTTGAAAAGATTTAATGAGTCTCAAACGAATTAAAAAATAAAATAAAAATAAAATTTAGGATGGAAATTTAAGAGAACAAAATTGTACTCTTAAAACTTAACTTCTATGATTTAAAGTTTTTGTGATAATGAAATACATCAAATGAGCAACCTTGTTATACAACATTTGTTATATAAGAATTAATTGATAATACATGAATTCAGATATACATTAAAATATCTATATACATGAATAGAATTAAATTCATCTATAATGACTATAGATTTATGAAGATCAAGATCCATTAAATCAAGATTGATTGAGTATAGATTGATGTGAATATTAATTAATTGAGAATTAATAATATAAAATTCATACATGACAATGATTTTGTAGTATTTATTAGATATTGAAAAATGAAAAGTATGGTATTATTGAAATAATTGAATTGTAGTATGGTTAAAATCGTTCAAAAAATAACTCTCATTTAGTGTGATATTTAATATATTATAGATTATAGATGAGCCAAACAAAAGCTAATGGAACTCAAACATTGTGATTGATTGCAGTTAAATTGAAGTGAAGTGAAATGATCAAACCGTTGCAAATTGAAGCTTGATGACCCTATTGTAGTTGCAATGAAAGTTATGTGACCGCCAAAACAATTAATCCAATTATTTTTATATTTTGGTTGTGGATTAAAGAGAGTTCATATCAAACCAAGAAATGGCTATTTACATATATAACTAATTTTTCTAGCCTCCTTTGTTAGAAATTTTTTAAAAACCTAAAATTGCAAAGATTCCACTTGATTAGATTTACAGGATTGTTATGGTGCTTATCTTTAGCAAAGATGTAAAATTCAAATTCAAAACAAATTATCAATCTTGAATAACAATTCAGGGATCTTAATTTTTGAAAACAACTGAATTAGCCATAAGTTACATCGACGTCAAGGCACTATTTAGGTTAGCAAATCAAATTAACGTTCGTATCATAATTTGTTCAACATAAGTGGTGACAATTCATGGTAACATACATGGGTAAATAAGTTAGTTTAGACTCGAAATAAGTGACTTTTGAGTATAGTTGTAAATGCCAGTCAAATTTGATTGAAAACATGCCCAACAACAAAATTTAGGTAAAATTTTAGTCAAATTTGACTAAAAACGCGCCAATGAATTAAACCCAAGAGAAATTTTAGTCAAATTTAATTGGAAGAGCACCAACGATCGATATCCGGATGAAATTTTACTCAAATTTGATTGAAAACGTGCCATTTAACAAAACTCAGATGAAATTGTAGTCATATTTGATTTGAAGTGCGACAATAAACAAAATTCAAATGAGATTTTAGTAAAATTTGATTGGAAACACGCCAATGAATTAAACTAAAGTGAAATTTTAGTCAAATTTGATTGAAAACACGCCAATGAACAAGAGTATAGTTGCAAATGCCAGTGATGTGATTGTTAAAGGAGATTATTAGAGATGAGTTTTCCATGTATATAAATGAGGAGAGAGAAACAACATAAAATAACAAGTTTCAATAAGTCTTTGTTTGAGCCACATTATTTTCCTTATAATGCATTTTTAAATAGTGTATTTATAGGAAATGTATGGTTAAAAAATAAAGAAAGGTTTTGGATTTACAAGCAATATTATTTTATTAAAAAATATGTGGTTGAAATGATGTCAAATCAGTGTTTAAGAATGTTTTTTTTTTTTAATGTAGCTCAAGCATGGCCTAAATAAGATTTTTTTTTTAATTGGCATAAAATACTCTCATTAATTAAGGAAATATCATATTAGATACCTAGAAAATAGGGGGAAATAGTTAGGATTTTATATATTAATTGAGATAATTTGTATTATATTATTAAAAAAGATTATTATGCAATATTAATCAGCAATTTTAAAATATTTTGAAAATATATAATGATAATGAAATTTCTAAAAAAAAGGTACAATATTTAATTACCATGAAGAGAAATTAAATAAAAACCAATTTTGTAGATTGACTAGATTCTTTGGTAAAAATTAAAATCAGGATTTTAATTAAAGTTAAAGTAAACAATTAATTTAACAACATATTTTATGAAATTCACAACTTTTAAACAATATATTTCATTAACTTTTACCGAAATCTGCTGAATATTTGATTTTATTCCCAATTAAACAGGGGTATTATGTAGATAATTATTTCAAGAATATGCAATTCTTATTGGTCTTAATCAAGTGAGGTTAGGCAATCATAGCGGCAACACTTGTGATAATACATCTGACATGTCTTTTACTAGCGATAAGATTTGTAGGCTTCATTTGTCTCAATTAAAATGTATTGAATTATTCTAATTGTACATTTGTGAGGTGTAAAAATTGAGATCATTGTTCATTCAAGTATTGTTAAAATTAATGGCAAAATTGTCTACCATATCAGACGAGGTCAAAAAATTGTTAACCATTATGTACACCAAGCAAAATTACAATGTGCTTAATGCACAATTGAAATTACTCAAATAATCTATAAACAATGTCACAAACCACAATTCAAAGTAGAAATCAGCAATAGTAGGCGGCATTACATTCATGTTTAGCATTTTCAGCTCGTGCTGTTTTTGAACTTGTGCCTCGATACGACTTACAAGTTCATAAGAGGTTACTAAGTATATTCAATTTTTGAATTGAACGTTGAGACTATATTGTCGATCAACCAATCATGCAAAATGTATTTCTGATCGATAACTTATATCGAATGTTTAATATCCAAACAACTTCTGGACATTGGACATTGACTCCACACCACCAAATAGTTGGTGAGTCGAATTGGTCAAACACTTCCATCGACATAACTATTCAAGCAAAAGGGAAATTAATGCTATGATATGGTGCCTACATTTTACAAACATGACTCGCTATAGTGGCATTTAAGACCTTGACACTCCAAAGTGCAGACAAGATGAGACCAGCCCCATCAAGTTTGATAATATACGTACTTATTTTTATATACCCGCGCAAGGATATGTAATATACGATATTTAGCTAAAATCTGTTCAAATTTTTATATTGGAACTTCCCACCATCTTATTAAATTATCATAGCGATTTTAGCAACTACACTCCATATTTATGTGATTTTCATTATCATGTTAGATACTACGCACATAGAATAATGATCTAACTTCATACCACAAGAATTTTCGACAAATTGCAATGATAAAAGCAGCAATTTTAAATTTTCTTTAACCACATTAAAATGGAATTCATACTTCGCTTAAATTAGGAGGTATAACCATTTGAATCCTTCTCCACCTCCAATCTCCAACAACTCTCGAAAGAAGCAAAATATAATAGAAAAACTCATTAAAGGAAAAATAAACCGTTCAATTACTCTTTTAAACTTGATAAGGTAAACTATATATTAATAAAGAAAAATAAAATTTTATAGGTCACACCCTCACACTTTCTTCAATAATGTAATAGTTTATGCAAGAACTTTATTTACGATTTATCTTGTCCCCAGCCCTTACGCGCCAACCGCATATAGACAAAAAATTGAACCAGCCATCTATTGGGCGCACCCCATAAAGTATTTTGCCTAGATAAGACTCCATCTTACGCATCCCCAAAGTGCACCACTGACAGTGGGACCCACTCACCCACTCACTCTCCATCACCTTCTCCGTACTCTCAACTATTCCCCAATTAGAATCCGCCATCTGCCCCTATAACCCTCACCATGACCCACGGCTTAGGTTTCTCCACGTTGTATGCTCTTATTGGTCTAACAGTCATATCAAGAACAAGACTTCATTCTGATTGGTCCACGTTTCTCAAGATTACACAGTCCACGCAATTAAAAATTTTAAGGAAAAAAGAAGATAAACCAGAAAGGGCTGAAACTTTAAATCTGAGGACTCGTGTGGAAAGGGCAGAAGACACTTGTCGCCCCCAGCAAACATTAGCCGGCGAAGAAGAAGGAAACGACACGATCTCCCTCTACAAGGTAAATTCGTCTCTGTGTTGTCAAATTTTAGTTATTTTCCCTCTCTTCATTCTTTTATTTTCTGAATAACTGATATTTCCATTTTTAGAATCATTCGGGTTTCAAGTTTGTTGACTTGGGCGATTTTGGAAATAAAAAAAAAAAAAAAACTAATTGTAATTTGGTGTAGTGTTCTAGTTTTCGGAACTCTTGTTGACTGAATTATCCATTTATATACGCAGGGAGATATAATTTGGGGTGTTGCCGTGTAGGGTTTTGATTCAAAATTTTCGTTTGATTTTCCTGAGTTAATATTGTTATTTGTTATTTTATGGACTCTCAAATGAAATCTGGCAAAGGAAAAAACCGAAAGAGAAAAAAAAAATGGACTGAGTTGCCGTTCTTCATGGAATGACACACTACTCTATACATATATGTAAAATGATTGGTTTACTAACTAGCCGGAGTGTAAAGTTCTTAGTTTGTTTATGATGTTGTATTGCTTTTATTTTATTTTCATCCATATTGAATTATAGATCTGAATGGTAGAGATCTACTATTATAAATTTCGTAGATAGGATACGTGTACCAAACAACAAGGGCCTTAGTCTTTATTTGCCTTCGTTTATTTATTATTATTATTATTATTATTATTATTTTCACTTGAAAGCTAAGTAACAAAATATTGAGTTTTCTCTATTATTTTAAGTACTTTAAAGGAAGATCTGTTTTGAGTTTTTTAACTTCCTTGAAGTCCTCCTTTTAATTTTAATTAGCCCTGTTATTCTGTGAATTCATAAAAAATTGATTCAGAAGCATCGCGTTTTATTAAAGTTGGAGTTTTTATCCATTTTCATCCCTTGTCTTCTTTCATGGTTTGGTTGTTCATGGTCACATTTTTGAGGAAAAAAGAATTAAATGAAAGCTGGAAAATGGGAACACAGAATTCTATCTGTTCTCCTTGCTTGAATTGCATGGGTATATATGGCCGTGTTGGTTGATAATCTACTCCGTTGCTAAATAGTAACGATTATAATATTTGATCAGCGTGTAGCTTTGGTTGGCAATCTTCTATAATGGGGTCATACATGAACTTCAAGGATTTTGGGGACACAGTGCTGCCGGATGGTAGTGGGGGGACACCATTGGGTAATTATCCATTGGCTCGACAATCTTCAGTATATTCCTTGACCTTTGATGAGTTCCAAAATACCTTGGCTGGACCTGGAAAGGACTTTGGATCTATGAACATGGAGGACCTTTTGAAAAGCATTTGGACAGCTGAAGAGACTCAAGCCATGTCTTCTTGTCCTGGTGGGGGAGATGCGATGGCCATGGGTGGAAATTTGCAGAGGCAAGGTTCTCTAACATTGCCACGCACATTAAGTCAGAAAACTGTTGATGAAGTGTGGAGAGATGTGCTCAAAGAAACTGTTGGTACAAAAGATGGAAGTGGTGGTGGGGGATCAAATTTGGAGGTGAGGCAGCCGACTTTGCGTGAAATGACATTAGAAGAGTTCCTGGTAAGAGCAGGGGTTGTCAGAGAAGATATTCAGCCTTCTTGGCCAGCAAATAACAATGGAATCTATGGCAGTTTACCTCAGCCCAGTGGTTTCAATAATGGTTTAACTACAGGATTTCAACAACCACCTCGTAACCAAGGTGTGTTGGGTAATCAACTTGGCGAGAACACCAATATAATCCATAATTCGCGAGCCTTAGAGAAGAATATGGGGGGTGTTGTATCTCTTGAGCAACAACCTAGGCAGTCACAGACGCAGCCTCTTTTTCCCAAACAAACAATAGTGACATTTTCATCTCCTATGCAACTTGGTAACACAGGAAACCAGGCTAGCCCTGGGGCAAAAGGTCCAGTAGCGGGAATAGCAAATCCTCTGAATAATACTCTAGTTCAAGGTGGAGCAGTGGTCATGGGGGCATTACGCAATGGAGGCACGACAGTTGCAGGAGGGTCTCCTGGAAATCATCTACCTTCAGATACAATTGCTAAGAGTGATGTAGATACATCTTCACTGTCCCCTTCTCCTTATGCATTTCGTGAAGGTGGTCGAGGAAGGAGATCATCTAGTTCTTTGGAGAAAGTAGTGGAGAGAAGGCGTAGGAGAATGATAAAAAACAGAGAGTCTGCTGCAAGGTCACGGGCTCGGAAGCAGGTGAATTTACAACCCTCCATTTGTACTTCTGTATACCTTTATACTGCTCACTAAATTCTTGAACATGTTTTATGGTTCTTGTGGCCCATGAAGGTTCATTCCTTCTTCATTGGTAGTTGGGTGAGAAGATGCGCTATCTATAATTCAAGGTTCCGTTAAAGATTACCTATATGGCTGGTCGTATAAACTTGATAATGAGAGACTAACTTTGAAGATTTACCATCTCTGATTTTTAAAACCATCTTGGGATAGCAGATCCTTTTGCTGCATCCCATATACTGGATGGACTTCTCCATTGATACGACAGAAAATCATTCTTCGCATTTTGGCCTCGTCACATAATCACTCTTTAAAATCTTTCTCGGGGATATGTATTAAATGTTACTACAGTAATTATAGATCAGTCCAGCTTGATTAAAATTGACTGGGGGATATCTTATGGACTAGTTTGTGTGTTCCATGAGTTTGCAACCACATCATGATAGATGTGCTATTAATATGGAAACAACACAATCTGATACCTATACAGACTAAGACATATTTCTTCTCTGAAAATGGCCGACCACAGTTATCATATGCCAACAGAATCAATATACTGATTTCTGAGAGACTATATCATGTTAATATTGACATATAATCACGCAACTCTTTTGTGCTTGATTTACTTTACTCATACATGAAATAGCATGACTTAGTTTGATATTAAAGTGACCTGATGCCATAAGAAAATAGAATTGCAGAATATTTTGATGGGTTTTACTGTTCACATTTGCATGTGGCGTTTGCATCTCTTCTGATTCATAGCTATGGGACTATTTATGTTTATCCAGCACATCATTGACATTACTAGTTTATTCCATATTGTTGATTAGTAACGTAATTATAATGAATGGAATTATGCAGGCATATACCTTGGAATTGGAAGCAGAAGTAGCAAAGCTCAGAGAAATGAACCAAGAGTTGCGGAAAAAACAGGTAGGTCCATTAGAGCAGTCAGTTTTACACTTTACAAAATGATATTGGAAATCCACAATTTTGACCAAAGTTCTTGCTGTATTCACATATTTCTGCAGGCAGAATATATGGAGATACAGAAAAATCAGGTACAAAACTATTTAACTGCTACAATTTCCTGCTTTTGTATCTCTGTTATAGCATGAAGGTCTTGACAGTGACAAAAAGAATTGTTGAATGAGAGTAAGTTCCACGGTAAATAGGCACTAATATATGTGAGTGAAAAGTTGAGCATTATAGTCTTCTTCAATTATATGTATGCTCTGGAGAAATGACATTACTGCCACTCATTTTTTTGATTCGGAGAGTTCAAATTATCTTTCTGAAATAAGTCTAAATGAAAAAGAAAATTCGCTGCACTCTGAAACTCAGTCGAGTAGAGCCCATTTCGTGTGCTTCCTCGCTAGTGGATAGTTTGTTTATATTTGTTTTGTTTGTGTACAGGTATCAGAAACAACAAATATGCCACGGGGAGGTAAAAGAATATGTTTGAGAAGGACAATGACGGGACCTTGGTAGAGTTAAGTCCACAAATTTATTGACCCCCGCCATTCGTGAATAGGATTGGATGGTGTGTTATAATCTGATTCAGATCTCATTATATACATAATGTAGGTAGTTTTATGTACAGAAGCAAAGAGTGTCTTGCTGTAAAATTACAGAACCATTATTGTATTATGAGATTCGGGTTTGTGTGATATCTATTTGCTTCTCATCTGACCTTCGAGTTCTTCTGATACGTGCCTTAGATGTGGTTAATTGGAGTATTGGTTACTTGTAGAATTGCAAGTTAAAACATTTTTGCTCATTATTAGCACTAAGATAAGCTCCCCCACCAAGAGTATCTTAGGGTGTGTGTGATTATATTTATTTTCTATGGAAAATATCAGTTTTCCACCCAAATTCCTACTTGAAGTGTCTGATTGTTATTTTTTTCCATGGAAAATATTTTCCAACTTTTGAAAATATGCCTAAATTTCCTTGTTTTTAAGGAAAACATTTTCCTTGGGTAAAGGTGGTTTTTATTTTCCACAAAAGATGGAAAACATTTTCTTTTCTAGGTGATAGTTTCCATGTCAATCAAACACTCTTAGTGTCTATTCTGGGTTCTGTATGCTTGGTTCAACGATCAATTTCGAGTTCATCTATTTGTGGGAAGGATTCGATTCCATGTCTTCTAATTTTTTGCATTAAAAGAAAATGAGAAAAATGCAAGAATATCCCTTTTGTCTCCAAGAAAGTTGAAGCCTTATATGAGATTTTTATTTTTTTCCTATGCTTGATGGAACCTGTCCCTGGAGTATGAATACCCTTTTCTTTGAATTAGTTTACTTGTACACTTTTGAGGTACATAACGGGTTACACTCCCTTTTTCTTTTGTGGGACTGATGGCACTTGTCCCTTGTGTTTTAACAGTTATAAAAAATTTTAAGCTGTAGAAATTTAAATAAAAATTTTAGTAGATTTTGATAAAGGTTGATAAAGTAAGTGATTGAAAAGTTATGAGTCCCATGAAACACGTGGTTAACATTAATTGTCGAATTTGATTTTGACTTTGAGCCTTGTCCTCTAAAAGTTCATTTTTTAGACTCATTTTCAATATACTTTCCCAATAAAATATATTTGTACATAAACTCAAAATTTTTCTTATTTTTTAATTACATATATATATTTTTTTATTTTCCAAAAAATAACTATTACAAAACTCATTTTTCACAAAAAAAAAAAAAAAAGGGATTCCAAAAGAGTCTAAATCTTTATATTTTTAATGTTTCCATTGATTAAAGAAAATAAAGACAAAAATACAAATTGGTTTATGGAGAATTAAATAAAATATTTCCACATGAATGATTTTTAACGTATTTGTGAAAAATAAAATAAGAGAGAATGTGTATATCATGGAGTCATTGTCGACTGATTTGATGATTTATATAAGTTCAAAATTAATTATATTGTCGAAAAAGTGAATTTGTTGATAATAATGGGATTCCGTTCATATATTCGAGGGAATGGTTCAATTCCATGAGGTTTGAATTGTTACAGAGAAAGTGTGTAATTTGTTGATAAGAATAATATCACTCTACTCATACGGATGACATCCTCGATGATCGCGCCCTTACATGGGGATGCATGAGTACCATGCGAATAAAATAATCTCGATCCCCTATGTGTGTGCACGGTCATCCACGTGTATCGTGTAGCGTGGTTGTATTGATAATAACGGGATTCCATCTATTCAAGGGAAGGGTTCAATTCCATGAGGTTCGAATTGTTACGGAGAAAAAGTTGAGGACAAGATTGAATTAAGGCCAAATATTGGAGATGGTGGCTGTAATTTACCCTGTAACTAACACAAAAAATTAAAAATCTAGAATATTTTAATTTTTCTTCGTAAAGAAAAATTAAAAAATATTTTTAAATTTTATCAAGACACGGAGTCTTGAACAGTTTGGATATGAATTACAGCTAGGATGCGTTAGGTACTGCTGCCGTACTAAATCGGAGAAACGCTTTAGGGAGTAGAGTGAGGAACTAGAGGAGAGAAGAATGATTGGAACCTTAGCTAGAAGAATTTCGTCAGCGGCTTCGGCTAGGACCCGATTGGATCCGACCCGGAACTTTTGTTTGGGTGTCCTACCCGACACCATTGACCGGGATTCCGAATCCTTCGCCAGCAACTCCAAGGTTATGGTAGGACTCATTTCCCAACTCCACTCGCACATTCACCAGGTATCGCTGCTCTTTCTCGATTCTCGTTGTCTTTATATATGTATGTATAATATAGATTGTGTTTGTTCGTACTTCGTCCGTATGCTTGATTTTTATTTTTTTATCCGTATTTAACTGGCATTTTGGTTTTTTTGTGAAAGGTTATGAATGGTGGAGGACCTGAGGCTGTGAAGAGGAACAGGAGTAGGAACAAGCTTCTTCCTAGGGATAGAATTGATTGCTTGATTGATCCCGGTTCTTCATTTCTTGAGCTTTCCCAGGTTATTTTTCACTCGGATTGTCACCGTTTCTCAGATTCCCTTTTGTTAAATTAAATAGCGATAAGATTATTTAAATTCATATCCCATATCATTATTATAATTTTTGATATAGGACATCAGTTGTTCAAGGAATGTTTAGAAAGTATGCCTTGAGCAGAACTAATTTAAAAAAGATATTAAAAATGGTACAAGGGTGCATGGCTTGTTAAATACATGTCTTGGTTGCCCATAGTAGGAGAGTCCATGTATTATAGGTTGTGGATAGTGGAAACCGAAGGAATGGAGAATTACATTGTCATGGAAATACATTAGGAAAAAAAATTGCATTATTATGTTCCATTTTTACCGTTGCTGAGACCGTATTGGACATCTTTGTTCATATTGTAAGATCAAAGTTCATCGTACTCATTAATATGGTTAGTGATGTGTAGTAACCCTGGTCATTCGGACTTAATACAATCTTTTCGTAACCAACCAGTCTTCACTTATCATTATTTCTAGATGAATTGATCCTAGATATTGGAGTGTAGCCTTAACATCAATATAAGCAATAGTCAATATTCATTTTCTTCTGTTTTATCCTCAAAGAATGTCTGTTTCTAGATGTGGAAGCGGACCTTTACAGCATTTTTTTTAAGATGAGGGTGTGAGTTAGATGAAATGGGAATTTGTGAACTAAGTTATTGGACTAATCATTTTTTCTTTGTATTGAGTGTTGGATATTCTCATACTAGAACAGGAAAATTAGGAAACAAGGATTCATGCGAATTGGTGGTAGGTAATATTTAATGGAGGTAAATAAAATGACTGACGGTTTAAGTAGTTGTTGGCTACTTGGAGCATGTCTTGCATAATTTAAAGAACAATCATGCTACATTTACATTTTCCTTTACATTAAGTTTGACCCTCTTTCATATGCCATCCATCAAAGCCATTGATCTCTACGACACTTATTACATCACTGCCCAGATTTTGACACATAGGATGGAATGTCATAGAGAATGTAAACAACAATGTACATATAGGGGCTGTCTGGTAGAGATTATCCCAAAATTTTCATTATAATTCCGAACGTTATACAGGAAAAGGGGCCCTACTGTAGCAGCATTTTTTGACTGCCTTCGTACCATTCAATTAAATTATTTGGCGAAAAAACGAGAGTGCCCCTCAATAAATGCATTAAATATTATTAAATGAGTGCATTTTTGGCAATTGAAATAATGAGATGATGGCTGCCAGTACTTGTTGTCAATTATTGCGGCTGAAGTTTGTGCAGCAAACCTTTACAACGGTAGGATTTTCGATAATAATTTTGAGAGAATTTCTACCAGACAGCCCCATAACTTAATTCTTTAAAGAAACTCTTGTCGTGAAGTTGATGTGGTCCCTCCATTAGAAGAGGGAAACAAACCAAAATTAGGATCGTTTGACGAGGTTAAAAGATTTATACCCCGTTTGGCCCCCATTAATTTTCATTCCATTGCATTTTATTTTTCTCTATCCTATTTTCAACTATACAATCTTCCATAAAATAATATTACATGTAAATTAAAAAATTTTCCTTCTTTTTCAACCACTCATTTTTCAAAATAATACTATTCTACCCATTTTTATTTTCCTAAAATGGGGGCCAAACGGGAGCTTAATTTCACTGGATTCTTGAATCAGAGTTAAATCAACCTGACTGCAGCAAAGAATTCTGAGACATGAGTTTATTGGTTATAAGGCTTAACTGGATGTTGTCGTTGTTGATGGTGGAGGTGGAGGTGGAGGTGGAGGTGGGTTGTTTAGATTAATGTAAGTTTTGTTTATCAATTAATTGAACAAAATGACTCTTACTTTGAAATGATACTAAAATATTGACTCAGTATTACACTGTACTACACTTGAATTGATGTTTTGTTGAACTCAGCTTGCTGGCCATGAATTATATGAAGAGCCTTTGCCATCTGGTGGAATAATTACTGGAGTTGGACCTGTGCATGGAAAACTATGTATGTTTGTGGCAAATGACCCCACTGTGAAGGGTGGAACGTATTATCCCATCACTGTCAAGAAACATCTAAGGGCACAAGAGATTGCAGCTAAATGCAGACTGCCCTGCATGTATCTCGTGGACAGTGGGGGTGCTTTCCTTCCAAAGCAAGCTGAGGTGTTTCCTGACAAGGAAAATTTTGGTAGAATTTTCTACAATCAAGCACTGATGTCAGCTGAAGGTATTCCCCAAATTGCACTGGTACTAGGTTCTTGCACAGCTGGTGGGGCTTACATACCTGCAATGGCGGACGAAAGTGTAATGGTCAGAGGAAATGGAACAATATTTCTTGCTGGACCTCCACTTGTGAAGGTTAGTTGAGATCTACTCGTATTTGAAAATTATACATGTTGTAATATTTGGATTTGCTCTTCATCCCATTATAGTTATTACTGTGCATCTTGTATCTTCATTTTTTAAGTATCTTCTAGAACTATGACTTTCATTTGTTCCATTCATTTAATTATATTTAATTAAAGCTTTAATTTATTTCTAAATTGATGTTTTAGTAGGCTGCTACAGGAGAAGAGATTTCTGCAGAAGACTTGGGGGGTGCAACCGTGCATTGTAGAACTTCAGGTGTTTCAGATTACTTTGCTCAAGGTAAAATTCATTTATCTTTGCATTAGAGCAGCAATTATGAAGCAAACTTATTTATCTAGGCATTTTGTTGATACACTTGGTTTTAAGCCTGTTGCTTTGCAGAAACTATTTGTGGCATTGTTGAAGTTGTCTCTATCTTGCAGATGAACTGCATGCACTTGCTATAGGGAGGAATATAATTAAGAATTTGCACATGGCTGGGGGTGTAAATGATCATCTCGTACCTGATTACAAAGAGCCATTGTATGATGTAGAAGAACTTCGTTCTATTGCACCAACAGACCTCAAACAGTCGTTAGACATCCGATCTATTATAGCTCGCATTGTAGATGGAAGTGAATTTGATGAATTCAAGAAATTGTATGGCACTGTGAGGTTTTCTTATCCCTTCTACTCGACTTCTGGTCATATATGTTTTTTGGTGTTTGGTTTTTGTTATTTATCCCTCTCTTTTGTCATGAACAGACACTTGTAACAGGTTTTGCAAGAATTCTTGGGCAACCTGTTGGGATTCTTGGAAACAATGGTATATTATTTAATGAATCTGCTTTAAAAGGAGCTCACTTTATCGAATTATGCACTCAACGTAACATTCCCTTGATCTTTCTCCAGAACATCACGGGATTTATGGTATGCAGTATTACTCTTCTTCCTAACTCACAGTAATTCGATGCATATTTTCCACAGCTGTGTGAATTAGTTTCAGAATCAGCAGGTAGCTAGACACCCTGCTGGTCAAGTTTGACATAACTTAAAAATGATTGGATAATGGTTTAAATAATTCTGTTAGTTTCTGGGAAGCGCAGTTCAAGCTGGAGAACGAGAGTATGAGTTTTCTTCACGTATAATTTACCCAATAATTACCAGAAAAGTTTGTATCTTCTACTTCGAGGAATTAAACTTTAAAACTCACTTTTACGGGAGAAATTCGGAACACTATTACTTGATTTGGTGTCAGCTTCTTACAGTTACACATTCAGATTGAGTTCAGTTTAGGGGTTATTTTCGTTCAAATATTAAAATTGATGCATGTGAATTTATTTATTTTGCTTGACAAAATTTCAGGTTGGCTCAAAATCTGAGGCCAGTGGTATAGCAAAATCTGGAGCTAAAATGGTTATGGCAGTTTCTTGTGCAAAGGTTATTTGCTTATTACAACTTTGAGTCTTCTTTGTTCTCTTATGTTATGAGCGCCTACGTCCATGATTATACATCAATCAGATGTCTCAAGTGCACTCTTTCCCACATCAGAAGATAAAGAAAACCTTGCAAATTTAATTATCATTATGCATTTTTACTTGCAATTGCATTCTGTGTAGGTACCCAAAATTACAGTTATCATTGGAGGAAGCTTTGGAGCAGGAGATTTTGACACATAGGATGGAATGTCATAGAGAATGTAAACAACAATGTACATATAGGGGCTGTCTGGTAGAGATTATCCCAAAATTTTCATTATAATTCCGAACGTTATACAGGAAAAGGGGCCCTACTGTAGCAGCATTTTTTGACTGCCTTCGTACCATTCAATTAAATTATTTGGCGAAAAAACGAGAGTGCCCCTCAATAAATGCATTAAATATTATTAAATGAGTGCATTTTTGGCAATTGAAATAATGAGATGATGGCTGCCAGTACTTGTTGTCAATTATTGCGGCTGAAGTTTGTGCAGCAAACCTTTACAACGGTAGGATTTTCGATAATAATTTTGAGAGAATTTCTACCAGACAGCCCCATAACTTAATTCTTTAAAGAAACTCTTGTCGTGAAGTTGATGTGGTCCCTCCATTAGAAGAGGGAAACAAACCAAAATTAGGATCGTTTGACGAGGTTAAAAGATTTATACCCCGTTTGGCCCCCATTAATTTTCATTCCATTGCATTTTATTTTTCTCTTTCCTATTTTCAACTATACAATCTTCCATAAAATAATATTACATGTAAATTAAAAAATTTTCCTTCTTTTTCAACCACTCATTTTTCAAAATAATACTATTTTACCCATTTTTATTTTCCTAAAATGGGGGCCAAACGGGAGCTTAATTTCACTGGATTCTTGAATCAGAGTTAAATCAACCTGACTGCAGCAAAGAATTCTGAGACATGAGTTTATTGGTTATAAGGCTTAACTGGATGTTGTCGTTGTTGATGGTGGAGGTGGAGGTGGAGGTGGAGGTGGGTTGTTTAGATTAATGTAAGTTTTGTTTATCAATTAATTGAACAAAATGACTCTTACTTTGAAATGATACTAAAATATTGACTCAGTATTACACTGTACTACACTTGAATTGATGTTTTGTTGAACTCAGCTTGCTGGCCATGAATTATATGAAGAGCCTTTGCCATCTGGTGGAATAATTACTGGAGTTGGACCTGTGCATGGAAAACTATGTATGTTTGTGGCAAATGACCCCACTGTGAAGGGTGGAACGTATTATCCCATCACTGTCAAGAAACATCTAAGGGCACAAGAGATTGCAGCTAAATGCAGACTGCCCTGCATGTATCTCGTGGACAGTGGGGGTGCTTTCCTTCCAAAGCAAGCTGAGGTGTTTCCTGACAAGGAAAATTTTGGTAGAATTTTCTACAATCAAGCACTGATGTCAGCTGAAGGCATTCCCCAAATTGCACTGGTACTAGGTTCTTGCACAGCTGGTGGGGCTTACATACCTGCAATGGCGGACGAAAGTGTAATGGTCAGAGGAAATGGAACAATATTTCTTGCTGGACCTCCACTTGTGAAGGTTAGTTGAGATCTACTCGTATTTGAAAATTATACATGTTGTAATATTTGGATTTGCTCTTCATCCCATTATAGTTATTACTGTGCATCTTGTATCTTCATTTTTTAAGTATCTTCTAGAACTATGACTTTCATTTGTTCCATTCATTTAATTATATTTAATTAAAGCTTTAATTTATTTCTAAATTGATGTTTTAGTAGGCTGCTACAGGAGAAGAGATTTCTGCAGAAGACTTGGGGGGTGCAACCGTGCATTGTAGAACTTCAGGTGTTTCAGATTACTTTGCTCAAGGTAAAATTCATTTATCTTTGCATTAGAGCAGCAATTATGAAGCAAACTTATTTATCTAGGCATTTTGTTGATACACTTGGTTTTAAGCCTGTTGCTTTGCAGAAACTATTTGTGGCATTGTTGAAGTTGTCTCTATCTTGCAGATGAACTGCATGCACTTGCTATAGGGAGGAATATAATTAAGAATTTGCACATGGCTGGGGGTGTAAATGATCATCTCGTACCTGATTACAAAGAGCCATTGTATGATGTAGAAGAACTTCGTTCTATTGCACCAACAGACCTCAAACAGTCGTTAGACATCCGATCTATTATAGCTCGCATTGTAGATGGAAGTGAATTTGATGAATTCAAGAAATTGTATGGCACTGTGAGGTTTTCTTATCCCTTCAACTCGACTTCTGGTCATATATGTTTTTTGGTGTTTGGTTTTTGTTATTTATCCCTCTCTTTCGTCATGAACAGACACTTGTAACAGGTTTTGCAAGAATTCTTGGGCAACCTGTTGGGATTCTTGGAAACAATGGCATATTATTTAATGAATCTGCTTTAAAAGGAGCTCACTTTATCGAATTATGCACTCAACGTAACATTCCCTTGATCTTTCTCCAGAACATCACGGGATTTATGGTATGCAGTATTACTGTTCTTCCTAACTCACAGTAATTCGATGCATATTTTCCACAGCTGTGTGAATTAGTTTCAGAATCAGCAGGTAGCTAGACACCCTGCTGGTCAAGTTTGACATAACTTAAAAATGATTGGATAATGGTTTAAATAATTCTGTTAGTTTCTGGGAAGCGCAGTTCAAGCTGGAGAACGAGAGTATGAGTTTTCTTCACGTATAATTTACCCAATAATTACCAGAAAAGTTTGTATCTTCTACTTCGAGGAATTAAACTTTAAAACTCACTTTTACGGGAGAAATTCGGAACACTATTACTTGATTTGGTGTCAGCTTCTTACAGTTACACATTCAGATTGAGTTCAGTTTAGGGGTTATTTTCGTTCAAATATTAAAATTGATGCATGTGAATTTATTTATTTTGCTTGACAAAATTTCAGGTTGGCTCAAAATCTGAGGCCAGTGGTATAGCAAAATCTGGAGCTAAAATGGTTATGGCAGTTTCTTGTGCAAAGGTTATTTGCTTATTACAACTTTGAGTCTTCTTTGTTCTCTTATGTTATGAGCGCCTACGTCCATGATTATACATCAATCAGATGTCTCAAGTGCACTCTTTCCCACATCAGAAGATGAAGAAAACCTTGCAAATTTAATTATCATTATGCATTTTTACTTGCAATTGCATTCTGTGTAGGTACCCAAAATTACAGTTATCATTGGAGGAAGCTTTGGAGCAGGAAACTATGCAATGTGTGGACGTGCATACAGCCCTGATTTCATGTTCTTTTGGCCAAATGCCAGAATATCTGTGATGGGTGGAGTTCAGGTAGCTTCACACTTGCAAATATGTTTGAAATCACAAGATTGGGCTAGATTTAGAATCGACAGCAGGATTTTATTGCCCCAAATTTCACTCGCTCGGAACCTTGCAATTTGAAGTTGGTTTTAATAGTGACTTAAGGCTCTGTTTGAGCCCTAGTTTTTGGGAAATAAATTTTGTAATAGTGATTTTTTTTTGGGAGAATGTGGTTAAAAAATAAGGAAAAGTTTTGGATTTACGTGTAAAATTGTTTTATTGGGAAAGAAAATGAGTCGTAAGAGAATGGGGCTTAAACAGGGGCAACAGTATACAAATTTTCAACCATTTGAAACCCCACTATGGTGAGATTTTGACGAGCGTTGTCATTTCAAATTACAAGGATTCTCATTTAAATTGTCCTTAATATCGAGCATCTCTTGCATTCTTAGTTCATTGAAATCAATGGCATTATTCCTCCAAACCGACTTATCATAATAGCAGTAAATTGAGGCAGCGTTTTGAGAATAATATTAGACTTTGAGTGCCAAATTGGCTGCTGTGTACTTCCAATAAACCCAATGTTCAGTTATTAATTCTCGTGGCCCTGTTCAGGCTGCTGGGGTGCTGGCTCAGATAGAAAGGGGAAACCGGAAGAAGGCTGGAAAACAGGTAGGAATTTAATTTTGAAAGTGTGACTGAGAATGTTCACTCATATAAGAGTAAATAAATTTAAGAATATTCTTTTTATGTTGGAAATAAGTAAGTAATTTGTTTTGATTGTGTTGGAAATTAGTAAGAGTTACTTCCCAAAACAAGTACTTCTTTTACGTATAAGTAAGAAAAAAGGTTGACTTACGAAACATTTTTGGAAATGAAAACTGTGTGACTATTGCCTTTTTTGTTACATCCTTCGTAGTGGAGCAAGGAAGAGGAGGAAATTTTCCGGACCAGAGTTGTGGAGGCATATGAGCGAGAAGGCAGTGCATATTATTCCACAGCCAGACTTTGGGATGATGGCGTCATCGATCCTGCTGATACAAGAAAAATATTAGGCCTTTGCATTGCTGCATCCATGAACCGCAAGCCAGAAAGTACACAATATGGTGTTTTCAGAATGTAATGCTACGAACTAATGATGAATTGCCGACCATTATCTCGTCGTTCATCCTCGAAGACTAGCTGCATGGAGGGTTGAACCTGTCGTTCCAAGAATGGAAAAGAAACATAGTAGCATCGCTTAGAGGCCCAAGATATTTAGGTTCGATTTTTGCAGTTCAGATGCCGGATTTGATGGTCTGAACTTGTAAATTTCTGACTTGTAAAATCTGATGAAAAAATATCTTTCTTTTGGGCAGCTGGTAATGTGTATTGTGGATGGAAGAAAAGTTGAAACACATTGTACATGTGAAATAATTTGATGCTAATATAGTACAGGTTCAATTTCATATTACCATTTTTTGGTTAATTCAAGGTATTTTATCAAATTTAAACAGCTGAGGACACTTCAAAGGTTGATTCATTTTTACTTTGATCCCCGATGTGGCGCTGATATTTCTGGAAGGAAAGTGAAGGTGGTTTTTGGTTCTTTAACAAAAAGGGTAATTTTGTTAAGTATTTTTCAATGGAGTGGTTTTATTTCAAAAAAATATTAAAAAAAATAAAAATATGAGGGTGTTAAACGATAGAATTACAGATGAGGAAACATTGGAAACTGAGGTACGCGGGTATACTTCCGAAGTAAAAATATTATTTACTCTTCGTTAACTTACTAATTTTAAATCTCTAGATTTCAGTTCAGTTATTTTTGTCGAGGAACATTTGATTAACACTTTTCTTCTTCAAAGTTTTACACGTCCGAATTTTTTGAACATTAAGATGGCTAATAGTAACAGAACTCTAAACAAAGCTATTCGCCCATTAAAGAGGTACGTGAGTTGGTTTCACAATGTTGTGAGACAGTTCGGTCTATATCTGATGTGGATTTTAGAGTATTGAGAGAACATTTCTCCTAGTCCACTACTCATTTTCCTTCTCCAATTGTGATACGAGGCCTTTGTATAGGAACCAATTGTCCAACGTATTCAAGATTGTCTCAGTGGATTTTGTCTTTGTTTAGTGTTTCATGGTATCTTGGCCGATAAATGACATTGGCAAGCAGAACTCGATATTGTTTTCTGTCTCCTCCTTTGTTGTTCTTAATTTCCTACGTTACCAGTTAAATGAAGTCAGGATTTGGATGACTTTGATCGTAGCATTTGCTGTTTGATCTTTACTGGGTTCATTTTTACATTCATATACTGTTGCATTGAGGTATGGATATGGTTGTGCCATTTAATAACTTAAAATGCTTGATCTAACTCTTGACTATTGGGTAGGAGATCAGATTTAATCTACCTAATATCATAATTTTCCTAAAAGTCGATTTACGTGCAATACTTAACTAAAGATTCGGGAGTAGTTTAATTTGATGAAAAGTAAGACATTTTCCATGCTCAACATGTCAAGAATTTTCTTAAAAAAGGGGATACGAATGCTGTTATGTTTTAATCAACCTTTTATGATCGTTTGTTAGTATAATTTATTAAGAGCATTTTTAAAAGACTCTTTATTTTTAAAGAGCATATTCTATCATTTGGAAAGAATCTATAAATTTAAATAGTTAAAATTTTAAATACTTTAACAAGCTCTTTATATTTAACACGTAATTTTACTAATCCCAAAAAATATTTATTATTTTTCTCTATAATTTATGTTAACTAGTTTTTTCTAAATCATTTTATTATTTTCTTGCATAGAAATTTAAAACACTTTGAATGTATATAATTATAGAAAATACATCTAAATTAAAAGAATGTTAGTATTTACAGTCGCTCACTATCGTAATCGCTCTACGTTGCATATATGTGACGATTAATGATTTATTGTATAAGGTAATAAAAGACTACCACATTAATGTATCAAATCATTAAACGCTACATATATACCATATAAGACGACTATGACAGTGAACAACTACAAATAACATTATTCAAATTAAAATGTTAATTAAGCAAGTCTTCTAAAATATAATTTTAAGAATTACTTTTAAAATAGAAAGCATTTTTTGTTAATTCCAATCCCAAACAACAAAACAAGCACAATTGTTGTGATTTTACCTTAACAGAGACCAAACCTCTCCAGGAGAAGAAAATAAACAATTGTTGCATCATTCTTCAAATCGGTTCAGTTCGCACGGGAGTATTTTTTGATTCTTCGGTCCAATTCTTAATTCCAATTAAACTCTCCGCCGCTCCGTTTTGGTCATCGCCGCCCAAATACAAAAATCCCAAATTAATTTTCATACTGTTTTTTATCTGATATTGAATAAGACCAAAATCGCCGACTACCCGTTAAAAATTTATTCCCTTTTCCCTTTTTGCGAAAGAATCATCGTCACCGATCTTCACAACTCGAACATAGTTCTTTCCGTTTCAGGCAAGTCACCCTCCTCCCTCTGTTACCTATATACTTAGGTACATATTCAGAAACCCTAGTTCGAAGTATTCATGCAAGAATTACGAATCTCTAAAAGAATGAATTTATTGAATTTTTTTATTAGTCATTTTATTACAGCGAGTAATCATTTTTAGGTCTACGGCCACGGTCTGGGTTAACTTTATATAGCTTTCTTGAATATTCATTCTTTTCCTCAGTTTTCTGTTATGATTTTCTTGGTAATGATGTATCTTATTCAAGATGATGTTGTTCTGTAATGATATTTTACCATCATGTAACATCACCCGATGCCAATAAATATAAGAAAAATAATTGTTTTAAGTTATCTGCTACTTTTTTTGCTTTCTTGAGCAGAAAGAACTTAATGGCGATATTTTATTAAATTAGCGTTACTGACCTTCTGGCGTGGAAAATATTGAGTTACTTGAAATTAAAGGTTTTAGAGAGGGCAAATGTCCACATGCCTCTCACGAGCAGCTGGGTTTAAAATTTTTTATTTTATATTTTTTTGCATTAAAGCCCGAGACATACAATATTTCATTAAATGTGTTCCTGTGAAACTTGAATTCATGACTGTTGCTTGATATCTTGTTGAACTACTATTTTATCATTTAATCTTACCTTCTGCAATAATAATATCTAGGAGCAGGATATGGAAGTGTGTGTGTAAACTGATTCGTAATGTAAACTATAACACTAACTGAAGCCATTTTTTTTCAGAGAAGACTTCTAGTGGAAACTACTAACATTTATTCTTCACTCATGCTGATGCATTACCCTATGATATAGTACACTGACACGGACACGTGTGTCCGGCACACGATTTTTCAAAAAGTACCGACACGACATGTCACCAACACATTGATTAATTTCTTTTAAATTCTTCATTTATATAGTATAAATTTAGCTCTATACTTGTTATTAATTTTTCTTGTTTAAATACTTTGGGCTCAGTTCCAGTCTCCTGTTCTCCTTGGATGAAAGTTGTTTTGCCATCAATTGTTGCCCCTGTTTGGGTTCCATTAAAATGAGTTTTTTTGAGAAAAATGTGTTTTCAAGTGTATTTGTTGGAGAATGTATGGTAAAAAAATAAGGAAAAATTTTGGATTTTAGTGTAAAATTATTTTATGGGAGAATGTTTGGTTGGAAATGAATTTTGAAAAATATGTATTTTTAGAAAAATAAAGCCCAAATAGGGCATTAGTTCAAGTTTCGAGTGCAAGTACTTGAAGGTTTTCTCTCGGCGGGATTTTCACAACCATTCTTTGATGTCAGGAAGCCTAAAGACGTTGCTTGAACTGCTATAGAACATTGATGTCAAGTTCAAATATATCTACTTTGATGTTGCCACCAGAATCCTCAAAAGAGAAACACATGGCAAATGCAAATACTGACTTGCCTCAACCTTATTTACATCAAGTGCAAAGCTCATCACAAGGCCCTGTGGCTATATTCTGGGACATTGAGAACTGTCCAGTGCCAAGTGATGTCCGCCCACAAGATGTAGCTGGTAATATTAGGATGGCTTTGCGTGTCCATCCTGTAATTGATGGAGTTGTCACAACATTCTCTGCATATGGGGATTTCAATGCATTTCCCAGACGACTACGGGAAGGGTGTCAGAGAACAGGCGTCAAACTCATAGACGTTCCTAATGGAAGGAAAGATGCAGCTGACAAGGCAATTTTGATTGACATGTTCCTTTTTGCTCTTGACAATTGTCCACCCTCATCTATCTTGCTCATCTCTGGGGATGTTGATTTTGCTCCTGCTCTCCATGTTTTAGGCCAGCGTGGATATACTATCATCCTTGTCATTCCTTATAGGGCGAGTGTTTCATCTGCTCTGAGTAATGCAGGCCAGTTTGTCTGGGACTGGCCAAGTGTGGCTCGTGGGGAAGGATTTGTGCCGTCTGCTAAGGTTTTACTTCCTTCTTATGTAGTTCCGACAAATATTCCTGGGTTTTTAACGGGATGCGAGGTAACTGACAACTTAGATTGTCAAAATGAAGAAGAAGCAATAGTGTATAGAGGGATCTCAAAAGGCTGTTGCAATAAAAGGGATCTCTCATTGCTCTCAAGGTCTCCGACTGAATATAATAGTAGTTCAATATCCATGCCCTATTATCCTTCGTCTTCCAGATCACACGGCCTCCCATCTGGGTTGAATGAAGTTTCAGCAAAAACTCTTACTTCATGTGACCAGAATGACTTCATGTGGGTACAACCTGGAGATCTGAATGGTTTAAAGGGCCAACTGGTAAAGTTGCTTGAATTATCAGGTGGGTGTATGCCTCTAATCTGTCTTTCTTCAGAATACCAGAAAATCTATGGGAGGCCTTTGTATGTGTCTGAATATGGAGCACTTAAGCTTGTAGATCTTCTGGAGAAGATGGGTGATGCAATGGCTATTGAAATAAGAGGCTCAAGGAAGCTTGTCTACCTCCATAACTCTAAAGCCATATCTGGTGCCCATCCCTTAATTTTGGCGAAGAGGGATAAGAAAGGAAAAGAAGCTCAAGATCCCATTGATGTTGTTGCAGGTGCTGAATCTTCTGATGAACCCTCAGATGATGAGAGGGTGGTTATAGGGGAACATGATGACAAAAGAGAAATAGAGAAATATAATTTAGAGAGCCTCAACCTCTTCAAACATGAGCTTCAAGAGATTTTGGTAAGCTACTATTGTCGCATTTCTCTTGGTTGTTTCGAGGTGATCTACCAGCAGAAATACAAAAGACCAATCAATTATCAAAGCTTTGGCGTGAATGATTTGGAGGAGCTTTTGGACAAAGTAAGAGACATTGTTGTGTTGCAAGAGGAACCAGTAAGTAAAAGGAAGTTTCTGGTCGCTGTCTGTGGCTAGAAGAGTTTACTTTCCGCTTTTGGAATTATATTGTGTTGGTGAAGATGTTACGAGGTATGCTGCTTGCTGCCTCATTCTTAATTTGTTCCCTTTTAGTTCATAAATAGGATGCGTCAATGTGAAGGACGTTTCTGTTCTTTATTTTGTCTAACTTAGGCTCGTTGGTTAATCTCAAGATTGTTCATGTAACACTCATTTCATAGTGGCTGAATCTGATCAACCAAAAATCTGTCTTAACATAACATCATCAATCTATTCTTTTATAATTGTTGTTTACACCGTATTTATGCTGAACCAAGTGAGAAGAAAAAATTGTTTCATCATCACGCTTCTTCTTGCAATCAAAGCAATCTTATAAATCTTACGCAGCTTTGTTCTAGTGCTTATTAGTCCTTTACTGTATTATTGTTCTGAAATCTGCTTCTAACCTGTAATTCTGCACGATGTGAAGAAATCTTTTCACTACTGTTTGTTTGATCTCCCCATAAACGGGGCTCCAATAATGCTTCTTCCATAACCATGTGATTCTTGTGTTGGACATAAAAACATTGCACGTCAATTATGGAAGGGATCATCATCATCATTGTTGTTATTATTTATTTATTTATTTATTTATGGACGGTGATGAGGGAATGCTCGTTGAGGAACAAACTGAAGTCACTTTCAAGAAAATTGTTAATTACCATAGTAACTAACTAATTTTTCCATCTTATTTAGTTTATCCTCCTTGAGGTGGTAGTTTATTGAAATTCTTTTTCATGGTTGCCAAGGATTTGCATAGGGGAGTTGCTACTGGTTGATATTTGCCGTGCTACCTTGCAAATGTGCAAGTCACTGCTGTCCAGGTGCTGCGTACTTTATAAGGTATTCAAACCTGGGCTTTGGCCGAAAGCATCCCCAGTAGCCATAAGAACTTGATTCTTCATCTATGATCATTTCCCAATTCCATTTACTTTCTGCAATTTCTGTGTTTGGAATCCTTGGGATATACGTGACACAGCACAGTTTTGAAACTGGAGAAAGGTGAAGGTAGCCATACATTTTTTGAGAACCACCAGCACATTAATGTTTTATAATCCATGGAATGTATTGATGCAATTCAGGTATTAGTGTATTGAGCATCAGAGTTTGCTTCTGGTTTGAGGCCTAGAGCACGTTCGACCTGTATCTACTGTGGATGAACAGATTATCCTACACTCAGATTCTTCTATCACCATGCACTGTTTGACTAGCAAATTTTCTATAATATCCAACTCCTACAATGGTGATCCAAGGAGCAAACAAGGTGGTTATGAATAAGAGGGCGCTTTCATTTCCAGTCGAAGAAAAGAAATCCCTTTCTCCTCAGCCGCAAAACTACGATACACGTTTTCACATGTCATTGCAGAGGGAGGTTGGTCGATCACTGCCGATGTGGACAATGACTTCTAGAGCAGTGAATATGTCGTGAGCTCATCCTTCATTTCATATACTTTGCGCAAAGGCATAACCTAGATTATAACTTTTTTCTTCTTCTTTTATAGCGTTCAGTACTATTCACTTACCAAATAAGCTATGGTGTTATCCATGAACAAACAGCCGAGAAAAGCTTGAGATTTTATATTCTTCGATTGATAACCATTGGAAACGCTGTGATACATATCATTAAATTTGGTCCTAGTTGAGCTATAATTTGGCAGGACGCATCATGTTTATGTTAATACAGATGCTTTAAGAATGCAAAATTAATAAACAATCTCTCAGCTTACTCGAAATATACGACTTTTAAGTATATGAACATATCAGTTCTGCTCTACTGCCAGACACATTGCTGTCTCCTTATAATTTTACAATCACCATTGAATTTGACATTAACAGATTCTTTAAAGAAAAGGAAAAAAAGGAAAGTAAAAAATGGTCGTGCAATCATTTAACAACTCAATTCTAAGTGCCAAAGAACATTTGATGTGTAAAACAGAAAATTTTGATTCCTCAAATCAATGGCAGACACATTTGCCTTTTCTAGTTACCACTGAATTCCTCTCTTCAGGTTATTTGGCTTTCTCATCTGTTGAAGATTAATCTCATGTTTTATTCCAAACATCGAAGGCGTTTCACTTGAAAAGGTAAAATATAATACATTATCACATTTGCAATTCTTCAATTTGTATTAGTCCTTAGCAATCATCTGCTACACAGAAGATTATTGTTCCCTTGCCTGTTGCTGAATTAGTCTCCCACTACACAGAAGATAATCACCTCTGCTCGTACTTCCTCTACCTCCAGTTTCTCCATATTCTTCATCTTCCACAGCTTCAACAAAAGCACCGTGCATTACTTCAGGACTCTCATACAAAAATCTGAGGACTTTCTTAATTGATGGTCTTGCCTTGCCTTCTTTCTGAGTCACGATTTCCACAATTGTTTGAAGTTGATCGAATTCAAAAGCATCCCCGAGATTGGGATCCACAAGCTCAGTTATTCTCGACTCCAAAGTCAAAAATGGTTGAGACCACTCAACCAAGTTTTTGTTGTTTTGTATTGCTCGTCTTTCAGTAACTAGCTCTAACAACACAATTCCATAACTGTATACCTCACTTTTCTTTGTGAGCTTTCGAGTAACCACATACTCCGGATCATTATAACCTGACAATCATTTAATGCTTTGATATCTCTGATATGGTAAGTCTATTGAGAAAGAAGATTTTGTCCGACCTGATAACCGTTTGGGAGCACATTTGGTATGCAATATTGGACAACTTGATATTACAATACACAAAAACATCTTTTTCTGACATGTCTAGCTAAGCTATTTTAGAATCAAAATAAGTAACTTATTATTTCAACTTCGATCAACAAAAACTTATTTATTTTTAAAACTAACTTATTTACTTATAATTGAACGTTTTACGCTTAGTCAAACATGTAATGTCGTCGGGTACTAGACAATCCATTTTACCAAACAAACCATTAATGTTTTGGTATCTCCGGATAAGCTATATAGAGTAGGAGTTTATAATAAGAGAGGATTTTGTCTAACCATGAGTTCCCCGAATATCAGTGTTTACAGGTTCGAAGCAAACAGAGCCATCTTTCGAAGCACGAGCAAGGCCAAAATCAGCAACCTAGAAGAGCGTTATTATACAATGAGTCCTTTTCCACAGTTCGTGTCAAAACAGGGACTCATTTCCACAGTTCGTGTCAAAACAGGGACTCATTTCCACAGTTCGTGTCAAAACAGGGACTCATTTCCACAGTTCGTGTCAAAACAGGGACTCATTTCCACAGTTCGTGTCAAAACAGGGACTCATTTCCACAGTTCGTGTCAAAACAGGGACTCATTTCCACAGTTCGTGTCAAAACAGGGACATTTCAGTTCATTGATCATATTTGATTCTGTAACTTAAAATTAATTAAACTAAATCAATGGTATGCAAATTGCCTGTGAGAAATGGACCAAAAAGATCTATCTTTTTACCATTCTACCAATCAAGTTAAAAGGACAAGTTCAGCACAACGGTATTGTATTCTATGACACTGAGTGTTGGGTCACATGATAAATGTAACAGAAATCACGATGTTTAAGGTGGATATGCAGCCATACGAGAATAGAACGACGCTATTTCAAGAAAAAAAATAAAGGGAAGAAGAATTTAGGTGGTTAGAACATTATTTTGCGTTGACCTAAAGAAGTTTTCATCATAAGAACTATGCAATCCTAGTAGAGTACGGTTTTACCTTTTATGAGCCAAGGGAGAAGTATACCAAAAGGATTCATCGGATCTTCATGTTGCATTGAACAAATTGGAATTTTAAATACTTTAACAAGCTCTTTATATTTAACACTTAATTTTACTAATCCCAAAAAATATTTATTATTTTTCTCTATAATTTATGTTAACTAGTTTTTTCTAAATCATTTTATTATTTTCTTGCATAGAAATTTAAAACACTTTGAATGTATATAATTATAGAAAATACATCTAAATTAAAAGAATGTTAGTATTTACAGTCGCTCACTACCGTAATCGCTCTACGTTGCATATATGTGACGATTAATGATTTATTGTATAAGGTAATAAAAGACTACCACATTAATGTATCAAATCATTAAACGCTACATATATACCATATAAGACGACTATGACAGTGAACAACTACAAATAACATTATTCAAATTAAAATGTTAATTAAGCAAGTCTTCTAAAATATAATTTTAAGAATTACTTTTAAAATAGAAGGCATTTTATCTTAATTCCAATCCCAAACAACAAAACAAGCACAATTGTTGTGATTTTACCTTAACAGAGACCAAACCTCTCCAGGAGAAGAAAATAAACAATTGTTGCATCATTCTTCAAATCGGTTCAGTTCGCACGGGAGTATTTTTTGATTCTTCGGTCCAATTCTTAATTCCAATTAAACTCTCCGCCGCTCCGTTTTGGTCATCGCCGCCCAAATACAAAAATCCCAAATTAATTTTCATACTGTTTTTTATCTGATATTGAATAAGACCAAAATCGCCGACTACCCGTTAAAAATTTATTCCCTTTTCCCTTTTTGCGAAAGAATCATCGTCACCGATCTTCACAACTCGAACATAGTTCTTTCCGTTTCAGGCAAGTCACCCTCCTCCCTCTGTTACCTATATACTTAGGTACATATTCAGAAACCCTAGTTCGAAGTATTCATGCAAGAATTACGAATCTCTAAAAGAATGAATTTATTGAATTTTTTTATTAGTCATTTTATTACAGCGAGTAATCATTTTTAGGTCTACGGCCACGGTCTGGGTTAACTTTATATAGCTTTCTTGAATATTCATTCTTTTCCTCAGTTTTCTGTTATGATTTTCTTGGTAATGATGTATCTTATTCAAGATGATGTTGTTCTGTAATGATATTTTACCATCATGTAACATCACCCGATGCCAATAAATATAAGAAAAATAATTGTTTTAAGTTATCTGCTACTTTTTTTGCTTTCTTGAGCAGAAAGAACTTAATGGCGATATTTTATTAAATTAGCGTTACTGACCTTCTGGCGTGGAAAATATTGAGTTACTTGAAATTAAAGGTTTTAGAGAGGGCAAATGTCCACATGCCTCTCACGAGCAGCTGGGTTTAAAATTTTTTATTTTATATTTTTTTGCATTAAAGCCCGAGACATACAATATTTCATTAAATGTGTTCCTGTGAAACTTGAATTCATGACTGTTGCTTGATATCTTGTTGAACTACTATTTTATCATTTAATCTTACCTTCTGCAATAATAATATCTAGGAGCAGGATATGGAAGTGTGTGTGTAAACTGATTCGTAATGTAAACTATAACACTAACTGAAGCCATTTTTTTTCAGAGAAGACTTCTAGTGGAAACTACTAACATTTATTCTTCACTCATGCTGATGCATTACCCTATGATATAGTACACTGACACGGACACGTGTGTCCGGCACACGATTTTTCAAAAAGTACCGACACGACATGTCACCAACACATTGATTAATTTCTTTTAAATTCTTCATTTATATAGTATAAATTTAGCTCTATACTTGTTATTAATTTTTCTTGTTTAAATACTCTGGGCTCAGTTCCAGTCTCCTGTTCTCCTTGGATGAAAGTTGTTTTGCCATCAATTGTTGCCCCTGTTTGGGTTCCATTAAAATGAGTTTTTTTGAGAAAAATGTGTTTTCAAGTGTATTTGTTGGAGAATGTATGGTAAAAAAATAAGGAAAAATTTTGGATTTTAGTGTAAAATTATTTTATGGGAGAATGTTTGGTTGGAAATGAATTTTGAAAAATATGTATTTTTAGAAAAATAAAGCCCAAATAGGGCATTAGTTCAAGTTTCGAGTGCAAGTACTTGAAAGTTTTCTCTCGGCGGGATTTTCACAACCATTCTTTGATGTCAGGAAGCCTAAAGACGTTGCTTGAACTGCTATAGAACATTGATGTCAAGTTCAAATATATCTACTTTGATGTTGCCACCAGAATCCTCAAAAGAGAAACACATGGCAAATGCAAATACTGACTTGCCTCAACCTTATTTACATCAAGTGCAAAGCTCATCACAAGGCCCTGTGGCTATATTCTGGGACATTGAGAACTGTCCAGTGCCAAGTGATGTCCGCCCACAAGATGTAGCTGGTAATATTAGGATGGCTTTGCGTGTCCATCCTGTAATTGATGGAGTTGTCACAACATTCTCTGCATATGGGGATTTCAATGCATTTCCCAGACGACTACGGGAAGGGTGTCAGAGAACAGGCGTCAAACTCATAGACGTTCCTAATGGAAGGAAAGATGCAGCTGACAAGGCAATTTTGATTGACATGTTCCTTTTTGCTCTTGACAATTGTCCACCCTCATCTATCTTGCTCATCTCTGGGGATGTTGATTTTGCTCCTGCTCTCCATGTTTTAGGCCAGCGTGGATATACTATCATCCTTGTCATTCCTTATAGGGCGAGTGTTTCATCTGCTCTGAGTAATGCAGGCCAGTTTGTCTGGGACTGGCCAAGTGTGGCTCGTGGGGAAGGATTTGTGCCGTCTGCTAAGGTTTTACTTCCTTCTTATGTAGTTCCGACAAATATTCCTGGGTTTTTAACGGGATGCGAGGTAACTGACAACTTAGATTGTCAAAATGAAGAAGAAGCAATAGTGTATAGAGGGATCTCAAAAGGCTGTTGCAATAAAAGGGATCTCTCATTGCTCTCAAGGTCTCCGACTGAATATAATAGTAGTTCAATATCCATGCCCTATTATCCTTCGTCTTCCAGATCACACGGCCTCCCATCTGGGTTGAATGAAGTTTCAGCAAAAACTCTTACTTCATGTGACCAGAATGACTTCATGTGGGTACAACCTGGAGATCTGAATGGTTTAAAGGGCCAACTGGTAAAGTTGCTTGAATTATCAGGTGGGTGTATGCCTCTAATCTGTCTTTCTTCAGAATACCAGAAAATCTATGGGAGGCCTTTGTATGTGTCTGAATATGGAGCACTTAAGCTTGTAGATCTTCTGGAGAAGATGGGTGATGCAATGGCTATTGAAATAAGAGGCTCAAGGAAGCTTGTCTACCTCCATAACTCTAAAGCCATATCTGGTGCCCATCCCTTAATTTTGGCGAAGAGGGATAAGAAAGGAAAAGAAGCTCAAGATCCCATTGATGTTGTTGCAGGTGCTGAATCTTCTGATGAACCCTCAGATGATGAGAGGGTGGTTATAGGGGAACATGATGACAAAAGAGAAATAGAGAAATATAATTTAGAGAGCCTCAACCTCTTCAAACATGAGCTTCAAGAGATTTTGGTAAGCTACTATTGTCGCATTTCTCTTGGTTGTTTCGAGGTGATCTACCAGCAGAAATACAAAAGACCAATCAATTATCAAAGCTTTGGCGTGAATGATTTGGAGGAGCTTTTGGACAAAGTAAGAGACATTGTTGTGTTGCAAGAGGAACCAGTAAGTAAAAGGAAGTTTCTGGTCGCTGTCTGTGGCTAGAAGAGTTTACTTTCCGCTTTTGGAATTATATTGTGTTGGTGAAGATGTTACGAGGTATGCTGCTTGCTGCCTCATTCTTAATTTGTTCCCTTTTAGTTCATAAATAGGATGCGTCAATGTGAAGGACGTTTCTGTTCTTTATTTTGTCTAACTTAGGCTCGTTGGTTAATCTCAAGATTGTTCATGTAACACTCATTTCATAGTGGCTGAATCTGATCAACCAAAAATCTGTCTTAACATAACATCATCAATCTATTCTTTTATAATTGTTGTTTACACCGTATTTATGCTGAACCAAGTGAGAAGAAAAAATTGTTTCATCATCACGCTTCTTCTTGCAATCAAAGCAATCTTATAAATCTTACGCAGCTTTGTTCTAGTGCTTATTAGTCCTTTACTGTATTATTGTTCTGAAATCTGCTTCTAACCTGTAATTCTGCACGATGTGAAGAAATCTTTTCACTACTGTTTGTTTCATCTCCCCATAAACGGGGCTCCAATAATGCTTCTTCCATAACCATGTGATTCTTGTGTTGGACATAAAAACATTGCACGTCAATTATGGAAGGGATCATCATCATCATTGTTGTTATTATTTATTTATTTATTTATTTATGGACGGTGATGAGGGAATGCTCGTTGAGGAACAAACTGAAGTCACTTTCAAGAAAATTGTTAATTACCATAGTAACTAACTAATTTTTCCATCTTATTTAGTTTATCCTCCTTGAGGTGGTAGTTTATTGAAATTCTTTTTCATGGTTGCCAAGGATTTGCATAGGGGAGTTGCTACTGGTTGATATTTGCCGTGCTACCTTGCAAATGTGCAAGTCACTGCTGTCCAGGTGCTGCGTACTTTATAAGGTATTCAAACCTGGGCTTTGGCCGAAAG